TATCATTTTATGTATTTTAATTCAGGTTGGCAAACCACCTCTCTATGTATCTTTGGGCACATAAAGTCACCCAAAAGATCCATTAACTGATTCATGAAACTATGAAATCTGATAGCAAAACTGAACTACAAGAAGTCAGGGTTTGGGGGTGAGTGGCCCATTTGCAGGATGATTGGTGCTTGGTGGGGAGCTGTGGTGACAGCAGCATCTGTAGAGGTGTGAACCATTGCTCCTAAAACATAAATTGTTGTTAAATCACTATTTAAAAGAAACCCCATCTCACCTTGCCCCTCTGGAATAGGGCTGTGGGGGGTAGCAGTGTGGCTTCCAAAGGATTAGTGCCAGTGGAGGACAGGGCACTGTCTCTGGGTTCTTCACCTGCGCCCACAACTGCAAAACCATTCAAGCTAGGAAACAACAACAAAGGGGTTTATTTAGCAAATAGGGAAACAAGGAGTTCTCCAGACCAACAATAGCTGGTTCGCTCACGCAGACAGTGTCCAAAAGCCTAAACAAAAGTTCTCATTCAAGACGGTGTTGTCTCATCCACGAGAGCCTGGAGCTCATGCCAAGCAGTGGGCCAGAATCCAACTCAGTGCAGCTGGGGACGTTCACAGGCAGGGGCCCTAAAGTGATACCACAGCAGTTGCAGCATCAGTCTAATGGTCAGGATGGACAGAAATGGACACTGCACCAGATGGTGATGAAGGCAGCAGCACCAGGAAGCGATGCTGCTGGATGATCAACAGTTCTCAGAGGTGACCCAGATGCAGGGCACTGGCCACGCTTCAACAGTGTTGGACAGCACTGGCCAGTTGTACCGGCCACCACCTTCACAGCTACCCATACTTGTCAGCCCACACCAATGTGCTGCTCTTTGACACAACAGGCCCAAACCCTAGTGCTTCTTTTAGGCGATGGCAGAGGAGGAGGGAGGCAGGTATGGCCAGCCAGGCCTCTGTGTGAAGCTCCTTGGCTTCTCTGTGAAACTTCTCAGCTTTTCCCTTCACAGGTCAGCTGCTGGGTGTGTCTGAGAGCATCCAGTCCAAGCCAGCAAGTGTTCAACCCAAGCTAGGGTCTCTGAGCAAGACATGCACCAGAGTGCAGGAGTGGAGTCGTGCACTAGTCTAGTGGGGAGCAGTTCAGTCCAAGCAATCCTGAGAGTCCAGTGTGAGCTGTTCACCACATTCTCCAACTGGCTCCTGCCCTTCCTTCTTTCCTCTCTCAGGGCCCACACCTACCAGTCTGGTTGAGCTGGTGGTAATCCTATGGCTGATTGGAGCATTTATAGTTAGCTCACAGTTCGCACCTGATGAGTCCATTTTATGATCCCGGCACCATTTCCGAGGGCTCTCCACTGTCTGCCAATGGAGGGAGTTCTAGCATAGGAGCTGGCCCATGGGGCCCAGGGGCTGTATCCCTGGGGTGGCATGCTAGGGTAACCACACCATCCACATCACTGCTGGCCTCTTCCAGCAGCCTGAATCCCAGTTGGGACACTAGTGGTGGGTAATAAATGACACTTGCACTGCCCAAAAGCATTGGGCCAAGAACCAGAGCCCTGAGTGAGGCCTCTGTTTTAATCTCTAGTCTTTTCTCAGGGTGCTACTAAAGAAACCTTTTTTAAAAACCAAGCAGAACTTTCTAACCTGCATGCATTTCTCTTTCCTTTTCTGCATAGAGAACTCCGTTCATCTCTCCTGATGAAGGAGTGGCAGGTGGTCCTGTGGTAGGCTCTTAAAACTCCCTCATCCCCCCAAAACAGACACTTCTCCAGTAGTTCTACACCCCCCTTTAGCCCTAAGCCTTCCCTGTGACCCCCCTGCCTTCATTCTGGACCTACATTGATATGTAGCTACTTTATCATTAACATGGTCTTAGTACATTAGATACAAATGCATCCTAACCTCACATTTATTTTTGTGTTTATCCCATGTAATTAATTATAACTCAAGAGCAAACATTAGAATATAGCATTTTTAAAATATTAAGTTCTGCAGGTACTTTGCCTCAAAAATTTCATAAAGCTTTAACATTATAGGAAATTTAAAGGTTTTACCATCCAAGTCAAAAAATAATGTACCTTTCATGGCTTTCCTTATTTATTTCAGTCTTCGGCTTTATGCATGTTTAATTACATAATTAACGTTATAATCTATATGAATTTACCCCTTACTTTTTAATTATACTAGTTAAAAATGGATCATGTTGTGAATAATCTTCACAGGTATATAGATATGGTAAGTAGTCACAGCATGGTATTTTACTTAAATCCCATTTATAGATAACAGCAAAATGGTTTAAATCAGGCAATATTTTCCTCCTACGATGGGCCTCTGCAGTCACCACCTCTGGCCTTGCTTTCCTCACAGGTTTATTGCCCACCCGTGATATTGTATTAGTGCAGAAGTTTTTGGGAGTTCAGGCACAGGCACACACACCTGTGATTGTGGACACCTGGCTGAGAAACCAGAGGCACAGTGTGTGCCCATATATATGTGTGTGTGGGTCCGTGTGTATGTGTGTGTGTGTGAATATGTAGATGATAGATAAATAGATAGACAGACATTGATAGATGATAGATTAGATAGATAGATAGAGTGAGAGAGAGATACCTGGGCCAGGAAGCAAGAACGAGATTACGAGAGAGAAGCCAGGGAGAGAATATGGAGATCACAAGGGCTGGGAACCTAGGTCCCAGCCCCCCACTCAGGCCAGCCTCCCTGCCCCCCTCATGGCTGCTTCCTTGCCTGCTGGTCTGCCTGTGTATATGGTCTCCTGCTCCAGCACTGAAGGCCTGTCAGATCTACCAAGGACTCCAAGATGTTTTCCCTTCTCCCCAAATCAACCAAGAACCTGCTCAGTATGGGTCTGGTCCCCCTGCAATAGAGTAATGCATTTTCTAGGCTTTCATTTTTGTATTTAATATGCTAACATAGGATTGATGCAGCTTTTTCTCTTGGATGACTTGCTTTTTTGTGTGTTTATAAAAGCAATATGTGAACATTTTATGAAACTTGGAAAATACTGAAAGGAATAAAATGAAAAATAAAATAGTAAATTCCAAAATTTATAATTAGTGATAGGCTTAAGAATAACCCAGAGATGAATCCTCTCACCCTCCGCATCTCTGGCCTGTACCCCAGTTCTGTATGAATAAATAAACAAATCTTTAAAAAAAAAAAGAATAACTCAGAGAGCTCTCTATTAGACATTTACCTATAGATCCCACCCTGAACTTTTAAGTGGTAGTAGCTGGACTGAAGCATCAAATTTGCCCAGAAAGGCAAAGTGACCTAACAACAGTCACACAGCTGACAGCAGGGTGAGTCAGAATCACAGTCCCTGTTTGCCCACTTGCTTTCTAGCTCTTATTCACATTCTTTAGACTAAATTCTGTTGAGCTATGTGTTTGTGTATTAATCTGTATTGAATTTGTCTGTATAAAATAGTTGCCTTATTTTATAGCTGGCTTTTCCCCTTGAATAACAATGAACCAAAAGGATGTCTCCCACTGACAAAGGCAACAAACTCACCTCCTCCACTCAGTATTTACTCTGAGGCTGAAATGGCAGCAGCTGGAGTAGCTTTCCTCCTTAGACTGCACTGGGCCCTCCCTAGCCACAGGCCTGCCCTGTCTAGTTGCCCCTGCGAGTTGCCCCTGCGAGCTGCCCCTGCGAGCTGCCCCTGCGCTCTTCATCTGGCCCCACTTCCACTTGAATTGCCTTCCCTCACACCCACTGCTCCCAAAGCACTTGGCTCAGGTGAGTGGCTGGTTCCCCAGGGGAGACACTGTTGTTACAGGGCACCCCAGTGTGAACTGGGCCCCCTATCTGCCTATCTGTGGGACCTTACCCAGCACTTAAAATTCAGTTGTATACAGGTGCACACAAAAGGGTCAAAATGCCTTTATTTACAAAAGGGGAAAAGAAAAGGAAACAACAACTGGAATATCTTACCGACTGGGCTGACTTGGAACTCTGGTAACAAACTAACTGAAAGCCCCGAGTCATAGGGACCAGAGAGCCGATTCCCAGGGAGAGAGCAAGAGACACAATGGTGCCCTGTTTATCTCACAAAGTCCCAGAATTCCTGCTTAGCTCCCTCCTTGGGCCCTTGCATTTCTCTCCCTGGTACTGCTGGGAGTTGTAGTTTCCAGTCACTGGAGTAGGGGGTAGAGTCCACAAGACTCTGCAGAGTTCTTTAGGACATCCTTCCCCTTAACACTGTCAGTAACTGAACAGACCTCCCTGCACCTGGCTGCTCCAGTGGAGCAGAAGAGTGGGGAGCAGTGGGCAGCAGGCCTCTGCTGTTCTCTCACCACCACCACCGCAAATCTCTCCACAGGGCTCGGGGGACCAATCCAGAAAGTTTTTTAGGACATATGTTCATACTTTTATTTTTATAGATAGGAAGCAAAAAAATCCTCAGTGAGAGGTAATGTATGGAAGATAATTTCAAAAGAAATCCCACCTGGGAGATGGGCCAGGCTCGGGAAGATGGTGTGACAGAGTCAAGCTGGCACTGAAGTAGGCATGTCTGGCTTTTGAATCCTGGTCCGGCTTCTCAGTAACATGTGACTTTTGCATGTTGTAGGCACCTCTTGCTACACTTTCCTCAGCCATAAATAAAATGACTAAAACTAACTATTTCATAGGTAACTTTAAGATTGTTTCAAAGATTAAATGAAATCATCTGATTGAAATGATTATAGCATAAAGTTTTTAAACTGGCGTCATTAGCTTACATTAGTAAAGAATAATTTGCAGAAGCAAACATCCACCTGAGAGGAGAAAGCATGTATTGTACAAAAAGAAAGAATGATGTAAAATATCTAAAATAAAATTAAATTAAAAAATAAAATAAAATGATGCTGATAGTCTTAAAAAAAAAAGTGCAAATGCTTCCCATACTTTACATTTTAATACAGATTAAAACAGGATTCCTTTAAAGACAGGTACCTGCTCACACCTGCTTCTCTGTTTGTCTTTTGCTTGTAGCCCTGGAAAGGAAAATATCAATGAGACAAAGCAGAGAGGAGCTGATAAAGCGAGGAGTCTTGAAGGAAATCTATGATAAAGGTAAGGGGATACTCCCCTCCCCAAGGGCCAGACAGCGGGGCCTGGGGCCTGGAATCGCTGCATGTTTCTCACAGTTGGATTCAGTTTTCTGCATCAGGATTTAAAGCTTTAAAACTCTGAATAATTCTGGAGAGAAAAGAGAATGTAGCAATTAGTACTCTATCTTGTATTAACAGAGGGAATTAATGCTCCCTTTTTCTCATTACTAGAATCAAATCACAAAATGTTAAAAAAAAAAATATGTGGCTTCAGGAATCTTGTAGGCTGTGAGTCTGTCTGTGTTCCAATTCACACAGCTGGGGTGAATTTAATTGCTTTAGGTTCTCTCAGGCATTAGGGTTTCCCAAGATAACGTTAAAAATCCATAAGCATCTAAAATTTCCGTAACAAAGGTGATTTATTGATTGATTGATTGATTGCAGTCTATCTCCCCACAGTAGAATTAATTGAAATGGAGAAATTATAAAACACATAAAATACACTCACTCTATAAGGTGTGCAGAAGTGTTTGCCAATGATTACGGTGTGTCTTTTGCTGATTTAACTATATCTAAATATTTATGTTTGCGGTAGTTTACAAGGTCTAATGAGTATGGTTCACTCTGTCCTGAGAGTTGTTC